CCAAAAGATGAAATCTTAATGCGCTTTTGTAAGTCGAGCCATGTTTCTCCGGAAAAGGTTTAGGCATCGAACCAATGTGCCAGAGTAGTTGAAGCGATCGCACTGAAAATACGAACAGCTTTGGAAACTAATTTAAGCTCATGTGAAGTGTACTGGCAATATTTGAGACAATTCTGTGAAATCTAGCAGCTTGGAGAAAATTTTAGTGTTATGCAGCAATAAACGGTGGTTTTCAACAAAATACGGTAGTGGCGGCAGTTGCAAAGGTCATTTGCGCGGTCAGCGGCCTCATGAATGACGCAATAAAACGACAAAAGTGCTCTTCTCAATGGATTTTCACACTTTAATTAATTCAACTGTAAAAAATTTAATAGTCTTAAGCCGAAAGTGTCTCACTTTACGCGTATGAGTGCCTCTTCTCTCTGTGAGTTCTTTTCACCTACTCTTTGATTATTCCTCAAAGCTTTTGTATTACACTTAATCTACGTAATCTCTGATACAGGTGGTTAATCCACAGCCAGTATAGGATTCTGCCAGCGCATTTCACCAAGTGTCAAAATGAAGCAGCCAGTGTATGTGAAGTAAAACGACTTACTTACTGGATTGTCCCAATCACATCGCCGAAGCACCAAGCAGGTAGACCTTAAGAATCGTGAAACTAATAAAGTTATTGGCAATCACACCCCTTCTGATCGCTTCGTCATCGTTAATTTGCAGTTCAATAAGCAAATGGAGCTTGCGGGTTATGACAGGTCACAGATTATAATTAAAACTGGCCAGCGCATTTAGCGCTTCTCATCAGTGGACCCTGCAGTTCACCGAAAGATCTATTAGTGAGTTGACCTTTCATTGCTAAGGTCAACAATCAGTGAACTGTAGTTGAACATATGGGACTTGTTGAAGCACTCTTTCCGGCTGTTAGCGTGGCCAGAGCCACACGCTGTTGCGCTAAAACAATGTGTGCGGAGCAGTTGCCCGTGGCTGATGCGTCTCGATAAGGAGGGTAGGACATTCTGGAAGCAGTTCCCTGCTGATGGCGTTGCTTGGATTTGCTTCACACCTGCGTAAACGTCCACTGAAAAATGATGGATAGGCAATTAGGTAGGTACACAGCCACATATGCTAAGCCTATCAAATTACATGCAGTGTTGGGTAAGCTTAGCAGCTCACACTTGTGCACGCAGTACCTCGAAGACCCTGTTCATCCAGCATCCCGGTGAAAACTTACGTCGAGTGCATGCGACACAAAACAGTGATCACTCACTGCTCCTACAAAAAACATCTTCGAGCAGATGATTGAGGAGAGCCTCATGCATTTTGTTGGACAAATCGTGAACGGCGCAGAGGTACTAATCTGATTTGAGATATCTCAATGAATTTACCTTTTGGGTCTGCTTTAGTGCGTGCTGCAGTTCTTGCTATGACTGCTGCTAAAAATACCGAAGCATTTTCAGGTTAATAAATCCGAAGTTTTCAGACTTATTTTAATGCACACAAAGCATCGCCACCACTGCGCATAAGGGCTGAATTCCTCATTTTGGTGACACAGAGCATTGCGAAATTACAACTTTCGACAATTAGCAGCATCGGTCGAGGCGCAAGGAAAGGCGAGGAGGGCGAAGAGAACGGCGGAACGAGGTAAGAGAGAGGCCAGCAGTACGAGAACCTGTCACTTAACGGGCTATCCGAAAATAATGCCAGTCGCGCTGTCCGTGCATCCATCCGTGACGAACTGATTACTCATTTTCGAGGATATTTCGTAATGGAGCAACGGCTCGGAGTATCCTCTGGTCATCCAGAAGGGAGCATCGGCAGGTCGAAATCACTGCGGGGAGCCCAATGAATCTTTACTAGCGAGACCATTATTATTATTATCAAATTGTTTGTTGCTTCTTTGGCTTTGTCCCTTGCATAATGCAATCACATTGTGAGCGAATGCCATTCGCCACTATTGCTCTTTCAGACTACATCTCCTGAAGTGCCTTGTCTCGATTCAT